GTCGATCAACGATGTTGGTATCTAAATTTCCATTACAGATTAGCCATGAAAAGCTGATCGAACTCGATCTCGAGAAAGATATCAACACAAAATAACTAATAAGAATATTACGTAACGGAGCTATACACTATATAGATATGGAATTCTGATTGCTTCTACCGGTGATAGAACTAAGCTTGCAATTTCCCTATTGAAGTAACGTTTAAGAGTATACAGTACTATAAATTGTGCATAGACTGCCTGTGAACGAAAAATCTTCACTAGTAGATATTTCAGATTGTGGTCATATTAGATTGACGATATCATTCTTAGATGTTCAGGTCTAAGCACTGTTTTAAAATAATCTGTTGCATGAGAAATCGTTGATGCAAGTAACCTGTCTGCAATCGCATGTCTTCAGCAAGCATACAAACTCTTCACGGACTTGCCGCAAACTTTCAGCAATAGGATCGCCATCCGCTTGCTTTGCCTATTTCTCTGCCCTACTACTGCCTAAATATTTCTCATTTAATACCGAACGATTTATCGACAGAGCATAAGATAAATGCTTGTGTTTTATGTTTCAGCGATTTAAATCCGAGCAAAACCTGAGTAAAAATAGATTATTTAAAATGCTTCACTGAAGCCAGTTAAATGGCACTAAAGTTCAGTATCTAATGCTCTAGGATGTAAGCTACTAGCTGTAATTTTAATCCCTTGCCATTATTTTGATTAATGTACTTAACAATCAAGAAATCATGCTACGATAGTCGTTCTCATTATCTGTATCATCCAAAATTAATTTTCGAATGACTTGGCTGTTAAGTCAGTGATGCCAAAGGCTGGATAATCTTACAGTTTTATCCCAGAATCGATTAGACTATAAAATATTACTAAATGATTAATTTATCTCTTTATGAATTCTTTATGGATATTTTTAAATATTGTAATAAAAGCAGAATTTTATCTTACGTTTCGTGGGTTTAAATTTATTATGATTTAGTAAACTTATACAGAATAAGATATAGTCTGCCACATTACAGTTGAT